CTGGTGGTGGAGGTGGCGGCATTAAATCACCAGGCAATGGAGGTGGTGGTGGAATATTTCGTAATGATGGTGGCATCGGTGGTGGTGGCGGTGGCATGTTTCCCATTGAGGGTGGAAGAGGAGGCGGTGGTGGAATGTTACTAGCAGATCCAATAGTTGATATTGATTCTCCAAAAATATCAGCATATTGATTTTTAAAACTCATTGCTGTTTCTGTATCAACCTATTCCAACAAACAAAACATATTGCAGTCAGTCGTTTTTTTGTTGTATTAATCGGAAGAATTCTTTTTTTAATACTTTGCTTAACATATTTTCAAGTGCTTTTGTTAATTTTCCTCTTGTTTTTTCCAGATGTTCAACACGTTCTTTCATTAAATTTATTTGTATTTCATTTTCCGTCACTGTTAAATTATTGACTGCATTTCCAGCCATCTGTGACAAATCATGTGATGAACCATTACGTATTGATGACATATGATCATTTAAACCTAAACCAGAGTCTCCAATTGATTCACTATCCATTGAATACGTATCAAAATCAGGATCACATGCTGATTTTGAAAAAACAATACGTGTTATACATTCATCAATTAAACGAAGATAAGAAAAACTTTATAAAATAAAAATTATTTAATATTTCAAACTAGAAAAAAAAAGCAAGTTTCTATGAACTAACCGAATAGTTGGATCATCTCGAATACAAATAAGTCGGTTAATAATACTTGAAAGTAAAGGTTCTGATGATGTATTTTTTACTAAACCATATAAATAATCAAAACAAGCTTGAAGATCACTATAAACAAAAAAAGAAATTTTCTCTTCATTTAAACAAAAGAAAAATTTTCATATTCTTACGCCCATGTACTAGATATTGACTCAAGTTTAATATTCATCGATTGATAATCATCATCAACATGGCGAAGAAATAAATTAATTTGCGTCAATAAATTATCTTTTTGTTTTGGATCTTCACATTCATTAACGCGTTTTTGTAATTCCTAATGAAAATGAAATTGTAAAGAGAAATAGTATTTTTTTAAAAAATCTTGTTTTTACTTCAAAACGTGATTTAAAACCAGAACGAAATAGTTCACTACGTAAATGATATCGATGTTCTGTTGATAATGTAACAAATATGGCATTAATACACATTAAAAAACTACTCTGAAATAGATGAAAAAAAAAACAATATGAGATTTAGAAGTTTAGTTAATGAATTTTAATTTGCATACAGCGACTTCTATTGTTCCATCAAGTTCATGAATTAAACATTCAAAACGTTCACGACTGGGACACCATTTTTGAACAGATTTTGAAAGAAGCTGAACTATATTTTGACCATTGGAAGGACTAAAATTAAATTAAATATCAATAGAATTGATTTTTAATGAAGGAAATTTGAAAATTTTTCCTTCTTTAATATTTTACACATTTTTTTATTTATTTTAATATTAAAAATCATAGACAAATTATTTGATATTTTCAATCATAGAATTGACTTCAAATTAACATTAAAGTTGTGTAGATAAACTTTTTCCGTATCCTATACCTTGGCTTACGAGGGAAGTTACTCAACTAATTAATTGCTTTTAAGTCGAGATTATGCACATCATGCAAACCCTAATGGGTTAACAATATTCTAAAAGAGTTCTTTAGAGACAAAAATTAATGCGAATAGCTTATTGGAAAAATTTCAGATCATTTCATTGTTCATTTTCTGAGATACAGCAATGATAAAAACTTGGCTTTTACATGACTCATATGCATCAGTAGATTTCATACTCTTATTTCAGGATCGAACGAAGCAAAATGCTTTTAACTTTTACAATAAACTGTCGTCGTTCAGATCTGTCTCAATAGAAAATTTTAAGTCGAAACTTAACAATTAGTTTTCCTTGTTTTACTGAAGGGGATCACGACATTGACTTGCAAAATACTATAAAAATGTAGCATTTCAACAGTAGTAAGCTAATGGTCAGAACTGTTTTCAGAGTATTCATAACTCATGAGAATCTACATGATGCATATAGTCCAGATTCCACAGTGGTTAATTAGTTGAGGCACTTTCCCCTCGTGAGAGAAACTTTTTTATCTTTCCTCTACCTGCACACCTCTAATCAACATCTATGGTGAGAATCAATACGTTTGATACTTTGAAAATTGACAGGTATAAATGATTCTATGTCCCAACAGGGAGAGATGCAATAATATTCTTTTCAACCTTTTGAATACTTCTGTGTTTTTTCTTTTTGTATTAGACTTAGAATTCAGTTAACAACGAAGACGCATGACACTCTATGGAAAAATTTTTGCGATAAATTTTCATGTATAATTTTGATCTATGTTTACACATCAGTATAACAAACATAGAAAATCTGTTTTTTTTTCTCTTCTCTCTAATCGATTTGATCAAGAAATCCATAGATATCTATCAGAAAAACTAATCTTTAGAACATCATCAATTATTAACTTGCAAATAACACAACATCTTCAAGAGATTACAAAAATATCTACTCTATATTATCCTATATACTTCAACTAAATGAAGAATTGATTTTGTAAATCTTACTTGTTTTCATTTGGCATAGCCAGTGCAAATAAAAGAATGGCACATGTAAGTTTAGTTTTACTTGAACGTTCATCATTTTCCGAATATAAAATATTTAATGCATCAATTGCAATTTCAGCTATATCTTTTGCAAGTGATTCTTTCATTGAATTAAAATTCCAACCAAGATTAAGATAATTTTTAAATGCTTCAATACCAGCAGCAAGTATTTCATATAATGTACTTTGTTTGTCACGACGTTCATCACCATCACGGTTGACTTTTCTATTTACAGCAAAAAAAAACAGATTTCTTGTGTTTTTTTTTTAATATCAAAATCAATTAAAACATACTCTCGTGTATATTGAATTTTACTGATACATGCTCGTATTGCTTTAAGCATAGCATTTGGACCATTATAATTTTCACTGAATACTTTACTCCATTTTAAACCATATTTTTTTAATGAAAATGCAACACGTTCAAATGTTTCTTTACTATTTTTTGAATTAATATTATCAATAGTAACATTATTTAAACATTGAATTTGATATTCAGGTGATTTAGGACCACTCATTTCATTCTAGATAAAATTATTATGATAATGATCTTTTTGTTTCTAATATTGCCACTTACAGTAGCAAGTTTATAATGTGAAATAAGCATTTCTCTCATATGTGCTGTTGTTGTTTGTTCAAACATTTTCTTTTTTGTTTCATTTCCTTCGAATAAATCATCCTGAAATATTCAAAAAATAAATATTATTAACAAATAAAAAAAAAAAGGGAAGAAACTAATTACTAACCATAACAGATTTAAAACGTTCTCGTACTTCATCATCATTTAATGTACTAACATCAAAATCATTTGATGTTGTAGATGATGAAACTATAGTTGAATCAGATGCACCAAAAAATGTAGATGCACTTTCATTAGGAACATTCAAATGACTTCCTTTATTTGAATTTGAAACATTATTGCCAGAATTCATTCCAAATGGAAGCGGAGCACGTGATTTTCCAGCTGATTTTCTCATTGATTTCTAAAATTTAATTTCGTTTTATTTCTATAGCAAGAATAATATCGTTTGAAATGAATAGAATAATAAACTGAAAAAAAAAATATGTAAGCAACTTTCTATAAAAGAAAAACATATGCTTGTATTTAAGCGAATTTTTAAATTCAAAACTTTTACATAAGTATTTTTTCTCTTCTTTTTTTTTTGTACATGGTTAAATAAAGCAAATTCAGTTACTTAGCAAAGTATTTATTGAATTTCCATCAAAAGAATTTCAAATTGTCGATTTCATTATATAAAAGTGTCCATTTTGCAAGCATTCGTGAATATTTGATGGTTTCTTGTTCTTTGCAACTATGTAAACATTGATATTTCGATTCTCAACATAAAATTGAATACATGAAGTAATCTTAAATTTACTCTTTTCGTATTCAATTTTTCTGTTGACGCAGCAAAAATATTTATTGAATTGTACAGAACGAAAAAATATATTTTATTCACTGATGTATGAAAAGGTGACATTTTTCCTTGATAAATAGATGTGCTCTATTCAGTCATGAAAAAACAAGTGAAAAAAATTAATTTGCATAACGTTCGAAGTACGAGCACCTTATTGTATCAATAAATGAATAAGAATATCCTCATTTTTAAGGTTTCTGCTATTGCTTTAAACAAACATGAATAAATCATAACTTAAAGAAAACCTCATAGAACATAGTCTCATTAAGTTAAGTTGTAAATCATTCACTTGAACAGTTTTTTTTTTTTGTTCAAATTATATTATTCAATTATCTATTTATTTATAATGATAATGAACAAACACATTCGATCACTACATATATTTCATATCATTATTATTTAGTACAACACAAGAGACTGCTTATGAATGAAATATTATTAATTTACAATAAGCACAGAATAATATTTATATACTGTAATGTAAGTTTAGAATTTCGATGTGTTATCGTTTATAGCTGATCTATATTATAGTTATGAGATCATAATAGAAAACGGTTCGTATATTGAAAAGAACAAATGTCGTATTTAATGTAAATTTGATGTAAAAAATATGAACAGATGCAAGAAACATTTTATAAAAGTAAAAAGAAACTGTCAAATCTAATAGAAATTATTCTTAAGAAAATGTTATTTTTTTTTTTTTGTTAGTAATAATAAATAATTTATAAAACTTACCATAAATATTGATGAAAGTGTTCCACCCTATATATAATCAAAACAAAACAAAAAATTTTCAGATTATCAAATATTTTTCCTGTTTTGTTTTTTTACCGCAGTGCTTTTGGTTTTAGTTTTCCCTTCTTTTGTCTCACGCTCTTGATTTCCATCATCACTCATTATTATTATTTCTAATTCAATTCAAACTGCAAAATATCTTATCTGAAATACGAAGAAAAAAAAGGCTTATTTCTGTTTATGATACAACTGAATTCTTAATTAAATTTCCATAAATTTTTGCATTTTGTCGATTTTGATGTTTTATTATCATTGCACATAGACGATCATTTTCATACTGTCGTTTTTGTTTTAAATATGTATTATTTGTTGTTTTTATATTTGGTATAATACGATGATGATACTTATTATTATGACGATAAATTTGATTAACACGTTCTTTTGATTGTTGAATAAATGAAGATTTTCGTTGTTGAAATGCATCTTGTAATGATGGAATATCTGTACTATTATTAGTATTATTTAATGATTTTAAAGGTAAAAAAAATGTTAATGATGATGAAGATATTTGTTTTGATTGTTTCATTATTTGTTGAATTTGTTTCAGTAGAAATGTTTGTTTTTGTTGACAAGCAATTAATTCATTAAATAATTCATTTAATACAATTGATTGGTCACTACTACTCTTTGACAATGTCTGAATTGAAAGAGAACAAAAAAGAATAAAATAACAAGCAATATTGTTTTTGTAGGAGTTTTTATGACATGTTATAAATCGATTGTTTTGTTAAGTGAAAAAGAATTTTCAATAGAATTATATTGAAAAACAATGTTTTTCTTTAACTTTTTTTGTGAATGAAAAATATGTTGAATAACATTAATTGCGATTAAGTTAGAAAGAAGAAGAAAAAAAAAATAGAAAACCTTTGAAGTTTTTTCTTTTTCTTTTTAACTTCAAGAGCTTTCTTCTATACTATTTGTGAATATAAAAAAAAAAAAATTACCAATAAAAAATTCTCTATGTTAAAGTTAAGTGAAATAATCATAGATTTTAAATTTATTATTTTAATAAGAAATCTAAATAACTTACTGATCGATTTGTTGCGATTTCATCTATTAGAATATTTTCTTCATTTGTTTTCAAGCTTTGTTTATTCATAGATGCTTCTGAATGAAGAGTCATATCGTCATCATTTTTTGATGTTATTGATGATTGTTGAATGACTAAACAAGTAAAACAATATAGCAAAAAACTGAAATTGAAACCATTGTTTTTCTTTTATTTCATCAAAGGTTTCAATAGTTAGATTCTCTGTTTAATTATCAATCTGATTTTAGTAGAATTTAACCTTTCGATTCGACATATAATGGCAAACGTGCAGTTGTTTGAAGTGTTTTTATTATATTGAGTTCGAACAATAAATCGGCGTTTGAGAACAGATAAACAATACTAGAGATTGTTATGAAGGATTCCTAAGCATAACACTTTTTTTTGCATATTGATATTTCAAGTACGAAGTGAGATTTGTTCTACGATATTTTTTAAGCTATGCTAATCCATCAGGCCGATTAAAAGTCATACATTAAATGAGGATGAGTAATACTCGCACGTGACGTCATATACACCTTTTTCTGTGTACGTATGTTTTTTTTTCAGGTGTTTGTTATTCATTCTGTGATTCAAATGATACCTGCACATTCATAGTTAGTTGTTGGATGAGATGTATATTTCTTTGATTTTATCGATGCTGAATTTGTATGATAATTTTCATCCGATGATAATTGAATAATATCTGTTGAAGTTTGTAATTTCTGTCGAAAGAAGAAAAAGAAGATATATTTTGTGCTATTTTTAATTGCTAATCTTACAATTTCAAGCTGTTTCGTAACAAGTTCCCAATCGATATTGTCATCTTCTGTGTCATTATTACTATTATATGATGATGATTGACTATGAGTATTGGAATCCAATGTTAAATTATGAATAGTATTTGATTTATTAATTGTATGAATTCGTTTAAATGATTGTGGTTCGAATGCAAGAGAAGAGAAATTGTTTTCTTCTTTTGAAGCCATACGATCTACATGAGTTTGAATCATTTCTAAAAAAGAAATGTAAAATCGAGGAAAAAAACAGAATTGTGTAGGAGTTACGAAAAAAGAATATATTAATACAAGGATTAGTTACTAATGATCTATATTTAATCACAACGATTGTCTTTTGTAACTGTAAGAAAAGAGGACATTTCTTCTTTTGTGTGTACCTTCATCGTTGTACGTAAGTCTTTATTGTGTGTAAATAAAAAATAAAAACTATAATGAATTGTCAAGGTATTGTGAACTTATCTGAAACTATCAGTTGAAATAAAACAATAAGAGAATGAAAAGAAAAGGAAAGTTTTTGCCTTTTTCTTTTTTTTTGTATTTTGTGTGCAATTTCGATTCATCAAGGCTGAGTCAAACAAAAGATAGTGTGAATCATTTATTGCTCACTTTGTAAATTCAAAGTGTGTGATGAGGAAAAAAAAAGTAAAAATAAGTCATACTAGATGGCGTTAGAGCGCTGTATTGCATACGAATTGGAAGTTTGTCTTCTAGAAAAATCTATCGATATTTTTATACAAAATTCGTGCATACCACATTCTACATGAATAAAATAATTGAAACTTACAAAGATGAAATGAGAGAAACATATGGTTTCATGTACTCTCGCTTTGATAACTATACCTTATCGCCTAGAAGCTGTGACCTTGCTGGCTTAATATAGGTCAAATAAATTATTGATCAAAATCGCTTTCAACCCACGAAGAAAATTATAATGACTAAAGTAAATTGGATGATATTAATAGACAAGAAAAGTGATTTTTATATACCGTTTTAATATTACTTACTCATTGAATAGAACAAGTAGTTAAAGATTCATCAAATAAAAAGAAAAGATTTTTTGTTAAAGCTAAATGAAATCGAAATTCAATGAAACATATTCCATGATATAAAGTATGTAGAAATATCTTCGTTTCCTAGTCCAATGCCTTACTTGAAGACGTCAAGGTTGGCTTCTGTATTTATTCGCAATTGTTGCGTTTATATTTCAAACAAAAGATAAGGCTTTTTCTTTCTGTTGTTCGCACCATACATTTCCAAGCTTGAATGAGTCAGTCAAGTGAAAGAAATTTTAAAATAAACACATTATATCGGATGATAATACTTACTTAACATCTACTTGAGTTCAAAAAAAACAACAACTTCACTTTAAAATCAAGTTTGAAGGAATTTTTTTTCATGTCAAGGACACATGTTAAAATTTATATTAATAAAAACGCTGATGAATATTTTTTTCAACGATTCATTACTACTAATAAATATTAAACAAATAGTTTCTCATGCAAAAATAAATGAAATTAGTCTATGAGAATTTTCATCATTACATTTGATTATATTAGAGGATTTTCGAATAAATTATTCATTATTATTAAATTCAATAAATCCATTTCATAAATTTATTTATTTTGTAGATACAATTTTACATGAACATGTAGAGTTATCTTATATACTTCGAATGTGAATTCTTTAAAGATTCAAAAAAGTGCAATTATACCACAGGGAGATGGACCAATATCTCAATTTTCATTTGAATTATTTACAATAAAATATTTTGAAATGAAAATTTCCTTTTTTTTTTTTTTTACAAATATTTTGTGCTGATCTTTATCGAACAAATTTGGAATTGAAATGATACTGTTTTATTAAAAGTAAATTGAACTTGTTTTCATTCTCTTAAAACACTTGACTTGATCTTATTGGTTATTTTTCCAAAATGTCATCAATATCTTGTCGTCTAAAACATGGTTGATCATTGGTAATAAGTGTAACTATTGGCAATATATCTGATAGAACTATGTTAGAACATGATTTCACTCGTATTCGTCTATATCAATCGTGTCAATGTTTAACAGAAATTAAGATTCATATGCTTTTGTTAATTGAATGAAAGGAAAATAATAATATAATTTGTATGATATACAGGATTGAATACATAATGTTTACATCACATTAACATGTAATTTTGAATCAATGTAAAAATAAAAATGAATTATAACAGTTTAAGAATTCATTAGAGGAGTTTTTTATTATGAAATTAGATAGCTGTTCATTATAAGAAATAAGTACCTTTGGTGAAATCGTTACATGATAATTCTGAAAGCATTGCATTGATAATCGGAGGATTTAAAATAAATAAATAAAACGGAGCCGCGCTTTCTAATTTTTGCAGTAATAAAATACTTCGGGATAAAACATAAGTTTTTGAATTCAGAACAAGATTCTCTCTACGTGAAATCGTCTATCGTTCTTACGTTATTTCAGACCTCATTGCTGAAATTTGAGATCACTTCGCATTTATGTAGGTACTTGCGAGTTGTCATTTTTCTACTTACCAGATGTACGCATCCGAAGTCATTATTCTCAGTCATGATGATCTTGAAAACGAAAACTTAAAAAATACTCAATGGAATGTGAGGATGAAATCTTATGATCCAATTTTCAAGAGAACATTTCATTTTCTCATAGAAAGTCACTCCCCCAAAAAAACATATTTTCATTGACTTCGCTCTTTTCTCATGTTCTAAGATAACTAAAATGACGACAAGTTAATTTTCTATTCATCCTAACTCCATGGACAGCTAATAACATATAATGAATAATAAAGATAATTAACCGATAAATCTTTTATAATGGATATTCAAGACGACAAAGTATTCATCATCTTGTCAAATTCCTTCGAACAAACAAATTCGGTCACCATTAGTGTTGTCCCCACTAGTAGTGGAAATTTCAGACCAAATCTGAATCAATTAGATCAGTCATTTTGTATATACAAATATTAAAGAAAACCTTATTCACCATTGATTTTCCACAAATACGATCCAACGTATGCTGTGGTCAGCTTTTTGAGGACGATGCTAAAGCACTAAAAATGATCGACAAATTCGAACGGGAATACTATCAGCATGTTTCTATATCAGTAGTATATGTGTAATTGTTCTCTTTATTCAATAATCAATCAATCGTTACGCATGATGTAAATACATTTCATTCTTAACATAGAATTTTTCATTCGACACCTTCACAAACACATCACTGAGGTTCATGCTCCACAGTTTTCGGGACATTTGTCTTCAAATTTATTTATAGTTTGTCGTGTTTAGGGGCTCTCAAAGATAGACTTTGATGATTTAGTCAAGATACCAGATGGACTTGCATCATTTAGCAATTTTTTTTCAACAGTCTTGATCGAGAAGTATTTCTCGCCTTTGCTGAGAGTAATCAAAATGATCTCGACCTGATAGGTATTCTCTTTGAAATAACTGTCGATCCATCAATATCGACTACTGCTTTCGTAAACGTCCGTGATGTCAGCTATTTTGACGGAGAATAAGAAGTACTCTTCTCCATGTATACCATCTGTCGTTTTGGACCAATGGTACCAAACAATGAGAATAATCGTATTTGGTAAGTGAATTTAACATTGATCAGTGACAATGATGCAGAACTTCTTACACTTACTGAACCAATATTCAAAGAGAGCAATTCTGACGCGGAAGGATGGCATCTTTTGGAAACCTTGATGACTAGGCTAGGACAATTTGCCAAAGCGCAAGAGATATGCGATACTCTGCTTTATCAAACAATGACTGATCATAAAAAGTCATCAATTTACTACACGCTCGGACAGGTGAAGGATGGTCAAGGTGGATATGTAGAAGCTATTGCTGATTATCGACAAGTCATTGAAGTCAAGCAGAAAATTCTCCCATCAACAAATATCCATTTCGTTGCGTCCTACAGCAACATTGTTTCCAGGTATGATAAGATAGGTAACTATTGGAATGCACTTTCATATTATCAAAAAACACCGCAAATATGCCAAGAAACTCTTCCTACGAATCATCCTGATCTGGATCTGGGTATAGGTGTTTAGATTTGGTAACATATGCCAGTCGAGGAACCTAATGGGTGACAACAATGAACTCGCTTTAGTCCACAAAAAAAAATCATTCTATTCATTCTAAATATCATCTTCGTGATCAGCATAGTCGAATTTATATATCTACGTATGCTGCGATCGAAATGCAGGAAAAACATGTTCTTCTCGGATTTCTAGGGAATACTTCAGGTCTCAAAAACCTTGATGTCACCTATCGCAATTGTGACAGGAAGAGTATAGTCAGGAACCATATTTGACACGGCTGTAATACAACAATTTCTAATCCATGAGAGCTAGAAAATGACCTTATACATTCTTATCCTTGCATAGTTTTCTGATACAATATATATAGATTTTCAATTAGTACGAAGATCGATTTGTAGTATATGTTGTTAAATATGCAATAAATTCATCGTTCTAGTTTGTAAAATATAGAAACATGTTCTGCTCCCTAAATTTGTCATTTCGATCAATTCGAACGTTTTATAATCTCAGAAACGAAAAGTACCAGTTTCGCATAACGGGCTTAGCCCCCGTCTGCCATCTGATTTATTTCTGAAATGGCAAACATAATATATTGAATAAGAAATCTTGAATGATTATTTTATTTTCTCTTTGTAATTGATTAAAACTAAAATTTGGTTTCATTTATTGGTCAATAAATGATACAAAATGAAAACTGTTAGATTAATTGCTATGAAGATATATTCTTTCAACCAAAAGAAGGGATCTTTATTGTATATTCATGATAACAATTATACTCATATTTCTTATGCATCGGTATTTTGTAGAAAAGACATGATCAATATTTGATCTGCTCTGCAAATAGAAAACATAACGGAAAATATTTATCGAAGCAATGTCTCAATCGTATTAACTGTAAACTTTGTTTTAAAATTAATTAAAAAAAAGTACTATGAAACACAGATAAAAAATAACAATCAATACTTTCGAAATATTTTTTTTATTATAAATCCATAAAAATCAATAAGATTATTCATAGTTATTATTTGAATTGGTTAATTTTAAAATGTTAAAGTAAGTCTTTTCCATGTTATATTATTAACATTAACATCAACAACAAGTACATCAGAATGATTTTCCTGTGAAAACA